TGAATCAGGGATCCATTTTGGGCCATTTAGCCCCACCCTTCCCTATTTTTTCAATTGTATTTTCCGATAATAATGATTTTTTTTTGAGTTTGCAAAAAATTTAAGCAAACACCGGCCGGTAAACACAAACCTAACCTAGAAATCCCGATAATTCCATAAAACATGTAGTAATATATCAGCTCTACTTACCACTTCTTCTAAATGTTCACAATGAAAAAGAGAAAATTATCGATGTCACTGGATCCCTGAAACACTTTTGCTAAGCCACAAAATTAATTTAAACAAATAATGACACAAGTCTTCACTGGAACACTTTTTAAACACGATATTTTTTTATGAAGAGCTGTAAAATAAAATGATTAAATGATGAATTAATGTGAAGAATGAATGAGCTAAAGGAATGAATGGATGAATAGATTAATGAGTGTAGATTTAATGATGAAAAAGGTTTTTTTTTAAGTCGATTTTTTCGCTGTGTGTTGCACGAAATTTTCGTCTTCAAAACCCAAGAAAATAGCACCGGCGGATTGAGGGTGTGCTCCCGCAGCATTGCGCATGCGCGCGTCGGTGGTGGGGGAAGTAGGGGTTAGATGGAAAGATCACTCTCATATTGTCGCCAGTATACACCTCCTTCACTCGTCAATATCTCCCAACCCAACAATCCGATTCCAATACATCTGAATTCATTTTGAAGATTGAAAAATCTTCTTGAAAACAAAAATAAAAAGTTTTTATTCCACTCTGCGGATCCCGACTTATTAACGTTCAAAAACCGTTCACTGAATGGTATTCAACATGTCGTCGCCTTGGCCTCCTCCCCACAAACAGTTTTCCCGGGATCAGCTGATCCATGTACACAAACAATCATCACAGCGTCATAACCCTCAAAATCATCAACAAATGGAGCCAAACGAGGGACTGATAGCAGTGCACGTGGGTGCAGGCCAGCACTCGGAGTCCCTGAAGAAAAAATACCAAAAATTGTGTAGACTAGCCTGTGAGGCGGGCTGCCAGGTCCTCCGCGCCGGGAAGACCCCGATGGACGCGGTGGTGGCATCAACAATGGTCCTGGAGGACTCCCCCTTAACAAACGCAGGATTCGGCTCGAATTTAACATTAGACGGCCAAGTGGAGTGCGACGCGAGTGTAATGGACGGTTCGAGACTGCTGTTCGGGTCGGTGGGTGCAGTGAGTGGTGTGAAGAACCCAGTGCTCCTGGCCCAGCGTCTCTGCGAGCACCAGACCGTGAGGATCAGCCACGGGCGGGTGCCTCCGAGTGTCCTGGTGGGTCCTGGGGCGCACGCGTGGGCGACAGAGATGGGGGTGGAGACCATTCCAGGGGAGGACTTGGTCTCCTCGAAAGCGAAGAAGATTTATCATCATTACAAGAGGAAGTTGGACGATCCTGGGGGGGATGTCAAGGTCTCGAGGCCTCGGCTGGACACAGTGGGGGCTGTTTGTGTGGACAGACTGGGGAACGTCGCCTCTGCGTGCTCCAGTGGGGGAATCATCTTAAAGTGCCCTGGGAGGGTGGGACAGGCTGGGGTCTGGGGCTGTGGGGTCTGGGCCAAGGCGGGAATCGTCTCAGTTGGGGCCTCAACCTCTGGGTGCGGAGAGCACCTCATCAAGACGACGCTGGCGAGGACTATTGCGGAGGCTGTTGGCAAGAAATTCGAGGGGGATGGAGGGGACTGTGTGAGGATGCTTCATGAGGCTGTGGACAGGGAGTTCATTGGGTCTGAATTCCTGCAGGGGGTGGAGCAGAAGATGGGTGGGGGGATCGTTGTGAGGTATGATGGGGAGGAGGGCCTGGGGGACCTCTTCTGGACACACTCGACCAATTCGATGATCCTGGGGTACATGAACTCCAAGGAGGGAGGGGCTGTGGGACTGGCGTCGATGCTGGAGACTGAGGAGGTGGGCAGGAAGGCTGTGGTGCAGGGGGTTCCCTTCAAGTTCTGAGGGCGAGGGCTGTAGGGAGTGTGGAGATGTACTCTTATGTTTGAATAAAGATTTTATTGGTGAGGAAGAAGAGATTGGTGGGTTTCACATGTACAAGTTCCCTTTCTCTAAGAATAGACTTGAGGCCACGTGGAAGTCTTTGAGGTCGTAGGACAACAGCTCTTTAAAGAGCTTTATCAGGGGCTCTGCTGATGTCGAGTCGAGCTCGAAACCGTCCAGGTAGAGGACTGCGAGCGTCCCGGGGAGGTCCATCACTTCTGCATATGCTATCGCTGAAATGAAACATTTAAAAATTTTTTAAGAGATTTGCATGCATTAGATTTATTATGCATTGAAGATCGATTATATATGTCTAAAACGAATAATTAGTGCAAAAAATGAATTGTTTACTGGTCGTTTACTTCGCAAACGCTTGAAGTGTTAAAAATAATCCAGGGCCTCCAATTTTTGAGCTACAGAGGCTTTTTTTTACCAATTTTTGAAAAAAAGTGTATAATAACAATTACGAGTTGTTTTTTTTGAAATTTAACTCCTACACAGCTAATTTCACTTTTTTTATTAAAGAAATTATACTGTTCATGTAAAATAATCAAAAAAATGTTCCTCAAATTTTTTGAAATATATTCGCGATTCATTCAGAAACATTTGTGTGGCTATTTTACATGAATGGTGCAATATTTTATATTGAATATCGAATTTCAAAAAACTAGCTAGTAATTGGTATTGTACACATTTCTTCAAAAATTTTGAAAAAAAAAAAATCTAACAAAAATTGGAGGCCCTGGACTATTTTAAGCGTATACGGGGTAAGCGAACAATAAACATTTTTTTTGCACCAATTCAGTGTATGAAAAATCCCACTCCAATACCCCGTGACTTTTAAGATTCATAGTAGTCTCCCGTTAAAATCTTATTCAGTTGAAAAAAAATTACATCATGAGCAAATCATTTATCGAGCCTCATCAGTCGTATTACTTTTTGCAATAATACTGATTGTAACCAATTAGAAAAATAAATTTTATTAAAATGATACCTCCAGCTGCGACTCCTGCCACGATATTCGGTTGACTCAGTACAGAAAAGAATTTTCTTTGCTTTTCTGAAACTGCTCTCGTCGATAAAGATCTCATAAACGAAAGCTCTGGGGTTTTCTCGCCACATTTAAGCTGCGACACGTGGTTGCATGTGATGGCGATTGTATTTTCGGATTTTGAGAGAATTGGAGATATCTGGGGATTTTTAATTGGAATTATTAATTCGACATTTGTTGGTTTGGATGGAAAACAAATTTATGCACTCACAGCTTCGATAAAGTCACCAGCTATCGTGAGATTCACTTCGGGATCGACTAGGCAGAGAAATAAATCATTGGGCAGTTGGTGGATTCTCGAGGATTCTTTTTTATTTGGAGATTTGATGTTGCAGATGCATTTGTGGTCTTGAATAACGCATTTCTCGATGAAATCTGAAATTATTTACGACACTTTTACATTTTTTTTTTTTTTGAAAAAATGATGCAGGTTTTGGAAAAATTTTGATTCAATTTTTTTCATCCACTGATATAGCGGAGGGCGAAGTAAAATGGACTCTTGACTTATTTTTAATGTTAATGGCATGAAATTGTTGATGAAATGGAATATTTTTTTGAACGAGGGTAGACCGAGCTCAATTGATAAATCTATTTGAGTTTTGAATATTTATCAAATAGAAAACGTGTGAAAATAGAGCATTTCAATCTATTGCATTTTCTATTTTCTTTAACATAAAAAGAATACAAATAGAAAGTGTCCATTTTACCCCACCCTCTCCTATCTGGAAAATTCAGTAAAATTTAAAATTATTGGAGAAACTGGACACTTTTTTATTCAAATTTTAGGGTTTAAATTTCAATTTTTAACTACTTGATGAATCATTAAAAATTCTAAATTACCTTTTATTAACGGGGTTTCTGCTATTATTAATGTTTTCATCTTCTCCGGGCAAGTTTCTATCCAATCAATTGTGAATGATCTGAAAATAAAAATTAGTAATAAAAGAGCCTTTAAATATTTAAATTTACATTATTTATCTTGTGCAGGGCATGATGTCAATAGAAATTTGTTATGAGGAATTTCCTCAGATACAAAAAAGCTCTATTGACTTCCTCGAACCATTTTTTTTATCAAGGTTTTTAAAGAAAATAAAAACAAATTGAAGTAATTGAATTCTTTCTGAGCTTAAAAACAATTTTATTGGATTTTCTTTCTTTGAAAATTTCCTTGGAGATAATTAATTGGGAGTGAGGTTAAGCCGGTAGCTGTCCTTACACTGTGTCATCCCCTGCTTCTCCATTCTCACCGTCGTCCTCGGTCCAAAATGCACGAGAGCTGGGATACACAACTTCACCGAATAAATCTGCCATTAATAATCAGGGATACAATCTTCGGATTGAGATTTTCCCCCGCAGTGATTGATTCGGAGGTTCAAATCGGCTCGATGACTTGTGTGTAAAGTAGGATTTCTACTCACGTAGTCAGCAACTTGTTTGTTTCATAACATTCCTTCATGGAGAGGGTCATGTCGGAGTGATAGTTGTTGTTGTAATTTAAATTATTAATTATAGAAGAAAAATTCGGGGATTCGGGGGTTAAATCTCACAATTCAAGGAATGTTTCGATGCTTCAGTCTCTGATTTGATCTTTTGTAGTTCAGGAAATTTTTTACAAGAATATATTTCAAATTTTCCCCTAAGTCATTACCGAGTCATTTCCGAGATTTTTACCGTTAAAATTCTTCAAAACTTTGATTTTTTCAGAAAAAAAATTACTGTTTGTTATTTGCCGAATTATTTCGTACGCGGGCGATCCTACGATAAAATGTCGAAATTTGCTCCTAGACTGGCTCCTTCCCAAGATAATTCGCTTTAGAAATTCTCTAAAAACTTTATTTTTCCAAAAAATTGAATTTTCCGTTTTCTTAATTGTCTAATTATCTCATAAACGAATAATTCCACAAGAAAAGCTCAAAAAATATTTTTTCAAGATGAGGAAATTCTCTACAAAAAATGTCCTACAATATTTCTCCCTACACCTATTCATTCTCAAGATAATTCACCTTAAAAATTCTCTAGAAACTTAACGCCTCCAAAATATTAAATTCTCCTCTTTCTCAATCGTCGAATTATCTCGCAAACTATTAATTCCACACCAAAAACTGATAAAATCTTTTTTATAGCTGAGAAAATTTCCAGCAAAAAACGTTTGTTTGAAACGCAGCAAATAAGTAATTATCTAAAGTTACCGGGTTCAACGGAAAATCTCGACCGACTTCGGGACCCTTCGGGTTCACGGGCAAATCACGAAGCAAATCGCCAAATATAAAATTGCAGTAGTATCAATCTACTCCTCAAAGAGTATACATCGGTTAGTCAACTGACCGAGTATCGAGTACATCACCGAGTGTATTATATTGAGTCTAGCGCTCTGTGTAGCGTCTCTATTTGATTCAATTATCAATTAATTCCGAGTTAACTATCAATTATTTTGATTCAATCATCAAGTTTAATATCGAGAGAATCTCTAGTGCAGTGTAAAGACTATTATCAAATTGATATTGAAACATTCATCAATTCGTGTATCCCTGACATAAAGACGCGTGGCTTGCGCCACAAATAAAGTACATCACCAGTGTTTTGTAATCCGCGTGTCTTTAATTTTCACCCTTTCCCTATCACGTGTCCCCGATCCGCCCTAATATTAGCCTCAATCTCTAACAACGTTCTACAATATTTTATCCTAAACCCCCTCGTTCACAAGATAAATCGCTTCAAAATTCTCTAGAAACTCGGTTTTTAAAACCAAATTCTGCAGAAACTCGACTTTCCAACTATTTATTATTACTATATATAGCAAACGGGCACTTCGCCCGAAATGTTATTGTATATATTTTTGTTCCTTAATTCATAAGTTGCAACATTGAATAAAGAGGAATTCTACATAAATCATGTCAGAATACAGATCGACAAACAACTTTCGATAATCATACCTAAAATTTTTTATTTCTTTCTTTTTCTTTAAATTAATTAGTGCTAATGATCTGCAAATGTGAACCAATATAAACATTTTACATCCCTTTGATCTCATTTTAATGGAACCGAAAATGGAAATTTCAAAGAGAGATCAATCCAGTATATCAATAAAATGAAAAAATCTATTTTTCTGTCTTTGCAAAATTTTTCAAATTGTTTTTTTCTTCTTGAAAAATCGAGGGAGATAGACATTTTTAATTTCTGTGATTGTATTCCGTTCACAGAAACAGGAAATACGAAAAATGTAGGCAAGGAAAATCAGAAATAAATTTAAAAAATAGATTTTTTAATCTTGAAAATTTCAAAAGTTTTTTTTTTATAATGAAGAAAAACGAATGTATTGTCTCTCTATTATCTAATTCCGAAGGAAGAAAATAAAAAGAGGAAGAGAAACGAGATCAACACGAAAACATAATTTTTAATTTTTCAATGTCTAGAGAAAATTTTAAAATTGATATATTTTTTCGAATAACGAACCAAAACCCATAAATTCAATTCCTATCCTCACATTTTCATAGAATACATACAAAATAGCAAAGAATTCAAATCCGGGATGAAAATTTCATCGGATTATTATTACGTAATAATTATTATTTATTATTATTGATCATTATTCTTAATTATTTACAACACCCCCTCAGAATACCTGTTTAAAGCCTCCCCCAAAATCTTCCCTAGCCCACATTCCCTCAAAATAATCCCAATTCAACAAAACATCCCAAAAAATCAATCACCTAAATTCATAAATTCCCCTTAACCCCGCCACTCGGCCCCCCCAGCGGCCAGCACCCCTTAAACCCATGAAAACCGGCCCTACCGGAAGTCGATTCCCCTCGAGTTACATCTTTTCCAACGGAAGGGCCAATGGCACCGGCCGAAGCTCCCAAGCCCCCGCCATATTGGACTGAAATTGTCGCTGTCTGCGGCACGCCCCTCGTCACCGCATTTCCACCATTGTACCTTCTTTCCGGGATTACACTGACGAGGAAAGGATGGCTCAGAATAATTATTTCGGCTTTACTCACGGTGGCACGCAATATGGGTACGTACAACTCCTCAATAACGAACAACTCTGTCTCCCAACGAAAAATCATTGAATTGAATAAAAATAAATCTAACAATAGCGTTTATTCGTGACATATTCAATGAAAAAAAATTTTAACCACGCGAATCGCCCGACTACCGGCTTGGTCGCCATCTTTATTTCTCATTTTTCACGGAAAAAAACGAGGGACCGAGGGGGGATTTTTTTCGGGATTTTGCCATTGATTTTCGGGGTTTGATGGGGGATTTTTCGATTTTTAATGGGCGTTTTGGGGTCTAGAGCGACTAGTGCGGCTGCTTATCAAACGGGTCAAGCTGGTTATGCTGTAACACCCACAGCTACCGCCGCTACTTACACTCAGAGGCCAGCGGCAGCTGCCCCCCCTGGGTACGAGACATACCAAGCCGCTGCAGCGGCTGCCACTGGGACGACTTATGCTGGTAAGTTTGGGGTTTGGGAGTGTTTGAGATCCTACTCGGGGTTTGGGGGACTCTAACCTCTTTGGAATACAACTTTTCATCTCGGGAAACTACAGGGAAAACTCATTTATCAGAGGAAGTAGAGATTTCGGGAGAAAATGCTAGAAGCCATTCTTCCATTTTTTTTTACTCGATTATGTCGTGGAGTGGGTCTAGAAGAAAACGTTCCTTGGGATTCTTCGCTGAACTGACTCATTTCGTTTTACAAATTATGTGAACAACACGATTTTTTCAAAGTTCCATTTTTTTGATAATTGTTTTTTTTTATTTAATGCGAAACCAATAAATGCAGGTTTTCATACAAAAGTTGTCTTGATAATTGTGTAATTAACTTGCAAACGAGTGATTTTACGACAAAATTTCAGATGACCTTTTTTGTAGCTGAAGAAATTTTCTAGAAAAAAATTCTTCTGACAGTTTACTCCAAACCCACTCATTGCAGAGATAATTCAGCTTGAAAGTCATGTGTGAACTTGAAACTAGAATTTTTCATTTTTTTTGCAATAAAAAATTATCTTGTAGTTTCTTTGACTTCTATAATAAGAAATGCAATGACATGCTGTAGAAAAACTGAGGAAATTCAAATTCATCGATTTTTTCGATCAAATATTAACAAGAGTCCATAAATTTCCTTAATTTTTCTACACAACTTATTCCATTTCGACTTAGTTCTACAAAAATTCTTTATTTTGGAGCAGCTATTCAGAAATATCAGTTCCAAAATATCGAAATCAAAAATCCAACATCAATGTCCCACGTCTTGTTGAATACATAATCACCTCAAAGATTTATTTTTATCAATTTCATTCAATTATCCCTATAAACTCACTATCGACATCAGAATATCGTAATAATAAATCTCCAGCCCCTGTGCGTATACCGTAGAACGTTGACCGATTCGTTATTAGGTTTTTTTTCCCCCGTAGCTGCTAATCCAGGTACAGTAGCCCAAACCTACGACTACGGTTACGGTCGTGCTGCACCAGCAGCGACATACGACGCGACAAAAACCTACTATCAGCAGCCAGCTGCTGCTGCTGCAACCTACACTACAACTGAGACACATTACCAAGCAGCTAAGCCTGCCTATAGCACGACAAACGCATACACAGGGACAGCTAGACAGGCCACGACAACTGGACAGGCAAAGACTTATCAAGCCTCGAGCACAGCTTATCAGCAGTCCAATCCGACCCAGAGTGCTACTTATTCCTCAGGGTATACAGCACCTGCGGTACCTCCTGCTGCACCACCTGCAGCTGCCAATAGTAAGTGGCTTTTTTATTTATTCATTTATTGTCTGCAGAGCTGGGTAAAACAGTATTTCTTGAAAACAATAAAAATTTACTTAAAAAATAGTATTTGGAATAATTTGTTTTTAAATACTCGAAGATTACTTCAATTTCTTTGCATTATTTTATATTTATTAAAATGTATTAAAATAAAATTGTCAACTCCATTTTTTATTCATTTAACTTCATTATTTAATTATTAGAATAAAAAATCTTACAATTTTAAACAATTTGTTTTTAAATACTTGAAGATTATTTCAATTTCGTTGTATAAACTTCATTAAAATGTTGAAATAAAATAGACAATTACATCCTTCATTTCGGTGAAATTAAATAAAATATGTTAGAGTATTTAATTTGTGAGGATTATTTCAAATAGTATAGCACAATGATTTTTATTAAATACTACCCAGCTCTGTGATGTCACTTTGTCCGTTCATTATTATGATAAAAAAACAGAACATGAAATTGAGGCCTATAAACATTTTTTTTTTATCGAGAATGTTCAATCCATTGAATTCAGGCGAGACACTCTGTCTCTGTCGAGTGTTAACTTTGTTGAAAGGATGAAGTTAAGCCGTAACTACTCGCCCGGGGGATGGGGAAGGGGAGGTGGATTTAATGCTTTTGTTGAAGTTTGATGTGGCGTTGGAGTTTTTGAGGTCTGCGAGATGTATGGGATTCTTCAAGTTGGGGGAATATTGATGTTTGTGTGTTATTTTTACTTTTTGGGTTGGGGAATATATACAATACTCATTTGAATATATTCGTTAACATGAAAATTCTCAAAACATTTTGAAAAAGTTGACATTTCAAAATGTTTTTCAATGAATCTGTGCTATATTTCAATGAAATAAAACCAGTAAACATGAAAATAAAAGAAAATTTGAGGATTTAGAATAATAAATGCCCTGAATGCATCAAAGAAGTCATTTAAGGTGATTAATATTTTGCAGCTCTCATTTAGAGACTTCAAGTGAATGGAGCATTCAGTATCCCTCATATATATGAATTTTGCACATTACACACGTTTAAGGTGAATAATAGCCATGAAATAATATAAAAATTCAATGAATCTTGAACTTTCAATTTAAATAAATGGAAAAATCCTTTTAATAATTGTTTTGCGATAATAAAAAGAGAGACGTTCATGAACGATTATTTGTAACAGAAAATATCCATTTTCACTGATCAAGAGGAATTTCAGCTGTAGAAGCTTCACCTGTTGATGCATTGTGCAAAAAACGTCTCCAAATTGATTTAAATCAATCGAAAAAAAAACTTGTGTGCCTCTAATTTTGTATAATACCTGGTATGTTTACCAGGTGACTAATAACCCTGAAATAATAAAAATTCAACGAATCTTGAATTTCCAATTTTTTTAAATGGAAAAATCTTCTTAATAACTGTTTTACGATAATAAAAACGGAGACTCACGTTCATAAATGATTATTTACAGAAGACAGTATCAATTATGATTGATTAACAAGAATTTTAACTCTAGAGGCTTCACCTTTTGTTGTCTTATGCAAAAACCGTCTCCAAATTGATTTAAATTAATCAACAAAACTATTGTGCCTCTGATTTTTTAAATTTGTGCACTATTAATTAGTAGTTTCTAGCTCTTATTGGAGCTCCCTCATTAATTTATACCTTGAAAACTACTAAGGTGAATAGCTCTGTGATAATAAAAAATAATTTAACGAATTTTGAATGAAAAATTGAAAAAACATGAAAAAATCCTCTAAATAATCGTGCGAGTAGTTACGGAGTAAAATGGGTATGAGGTTTCAATTTCATTTCTCTCTAGAACCAACGAGTACAACGTATTCCGGCTACGACGCAGCGCTTTATAGCGCTGCGACAATGTACGTAGCACAGCAAAGTGCAAACAGCAATTCGACTAACCAGAAGACTGGAGGTTGGCAGGGCTACGGACGCAAGGGCTTCGCACCCGGTGGTGGTGGAGGCGGTGGTGGTGGTGGTGGTGGAGGCGGTGGTGGAGGTGGTATGAAGAGTATGCGGGCCAAGCAGCCACCAAAGCCCCAACAATTGCACTACTGCGATGTCTGTAAGATCAGTTGTGCTGGGCCACAGACATATCGTGAACATCTCGAGGGGCAGAAGCACAAGAAGAAGGAGGCATCACTCAAGGTGCCACAGCAGCCACCAGCACGTGGCGCTGGCAATTCGTTAAGATGTGAACTGTGCGATGTCACCTGCACTGGTAATGATGCTTATGCCGCACACATTCGGGGGGCCAAGCATCAGAAGGTCGTTAAACTTCATACGAAACTGGGTAAACCCATTCCCAGCGCTGATCCAACTGTTTTGAATCCCAAACCTGCTGCTGGGGCTAAAGCTGCGGGGGCTGCCAAGAAACCTATGGTCACGGCCACTCCAAAGATCAATTTTGTTGCTTGTAAGTAATTCAATTCATAATGAGGATTTTTTAATAAAAAATGAGCGGAGGGGGGGGGGAGCGAGGAAAAGGAAGATTGATTGATTGGTTTCGAGGGCATCTTCAATGTTAATTAGTTTACGATTATGAAAACGAGTGAGAAATCGCCCTTTTCTTCATATAACATAGCTATTTTGATAAGAAATTAGCTATATGCTTGGGATTGGTCATTTTACACATTTTTTTTCATCGTGTATGATTTAGTGTATTTATTATTTTGGTCCATTGAATTAGATGTCATCTTCAATCAATTGTATTAGATTACTTGTGGAAGTTCTTGCGTAGAGGAGAATGGGGTAAAATGGACGCTTTTGACTTTTTTAAAAATATTCATGACGTGTTGAATTGTTCATGAATGGAATAATTTTATTTTTCAATTGAAGCGACAATTCTTCCCCTTTGTGATGAGTTTAGCCTGAGCTCAATTGACTTATGAATATTTAAAGTAAAAAGTAGAAAGTGTCTATTTTACCCCATCCTTCCCTGAATAAAATGAAAGAATGATAATATCTGAATTATAAAACAAACAATAGAGATGCAAACAAATAAAACTACTGCCACGAGTCCATAAAATCCGTTTGACAATTATTTGTGCTAAATGTAAAATAGGTTGATTAACTAGGTAGACTGTCATTAACTTCAGGTTATTGCCTTTTTTTACATTTGAAATTGACCAGTAGAATGTCAGGCAACATAAATTTTTTGAAGAAATTCTTATAATCATTACTGACTTTGAAAAAATGTGTTGTAATAGTTTAATGTGATTATTCATTTTCAAAACAAAATTTAACTATTTGACAACAATTATGAATCTTGCATTTCCTTCATGACAACAGATTCACGTTTATAGGTTTTTTGTATATTATGGCTTGAAGGTGTTATGCTCACTCCTTATGTATTATTTTTGAGATTGAGAATTAATTGGTAAATTAGAAAAAAATCTCTCATTCTATGCAGTAGGTGAAACAGTTTAACAAGGGATTTTTTAAAAGTTCATAAGTATTTAGATTTTGTTTCACAGATTAATAAACTGCCCTGATGAGGAATGCATATAAAAAAATTAAAAAATGAGGCCAAATTTAAAAAAATGAGAGGATTTTTTTGAGTTAGATTTTTTTTCTTATTCTTGCTTGTTAATGACCGTAAATTGGCTGAAGGTATTGTTCTAAAATCACAAAATCCACCAATAATTTCAGCTGGCAATCTGGGTTCAGTCGCCGTGAACCAATCTCAGCCACCAGAGCTTAAGCCAGATGACCCAACCCCCGAAGAAGCCACAGAGGAGGCCCCCACCGATGAGAAGGACATCCAGCCAGTGGGCCAGGAATACATTGAAGAGAATAAATCGGAGGACGGTAAGATCATAAGCTTTAACTGCAAGCTCTGCGAGTGTCGTTTCAACGACCCCAACGCCAAGGACATGCACATGAAGGGTCGTCGTCACAGATTCGCCTACAAGAAGAAGGTGAACCCCGACCTCGTAGTCGACATGAAACCAAGCCTGAAGCAGAGAAAAATGCAGGAGGAGAAGCAGAGGAGGCAGCAGGCAAGGGAGGAGTTCTCACGTAGACGAGAGGACATGGGACAGATGGGGCCAATGGGGCCCATGGGTCCCCTCGTCGACGAGGAGATGATGTACTGGGAGGAGAGACGAAGATACGAGGAGGAGTGCGAGTACTACGAGTGGTACAGACGTTATGGAAGGGGTCCAGGTGCACCACCAATGCCTCGTCCCTTTCCAGGTCCACCTCCCATGATGATGTTCCCAGGGCCCCAGCGACGTCCCGACTCGTCTGATGACAAACACGTGGCTGCCCACCACTCAACCATCTATCCCAAGGAGGAGGAACTGCAGGCAGTTCAGAAAATCGTGTCACACACTGAAAAAGCCCTTAAATTCGTGTCTGATGCACTTGCTGAGGCCACCAAGAAGGCAACACCAGCGACAACTCCAGCGACAACACCGACACCTGCTGCTGGGGCTGTCGCTGTTGGCAATAGTGCTGAGGGAAAGAAGGAGGAGGCAGTGGACAAGAAGAAGCCAGCTACTCCACCGCAGAAGGAGGATGGCAGCGATGGGAATCTGTTCTCGTTTCACAAGGAGAAGGAAGACTCGAGGATTCTCAGGGGCGTCATGAGGGTGGGAAATCTGGCAAAGGGACTGCTCTTGTCTGGGGATAATCACGTCTGTCTGGTTGTTCTGTGCCTTGAGAAACCCACCAAAACTCTGCTGAATAAAGTTGCTGAGATTCTACCTGCTCAACTGAAGATTGTGGCGCCTGAGGACAACTACAATGTTGGAAAGCATCCGGAGTCCGCTGCCATCACTGTCTCTGGGGGGAGTGTCACTGTCAGTGTTACTTTGACCAGTCCTCTTATGAGGGAGACACCAAAACCAGCTGGTGCAGGTGATTATGAGATTTTTGGATTCACCAGGGCCAAGAAAAGGATAAGGTTTTTCTTCTTTTCATGGCCTGAGGACATTTATTTTTTCATTTTGGGGTTTGGGGTTTGGAGTTTGGGTGGGTGAAGGATACAGAGCTGGGTGATTCCTCTTTTTTTGTGGAGGAATAAAAATAGCAAGAAACAATTTAGCAAATGAAAGAAAGAAAATGGTTTTTCGAATTCAGATAATTAATCGGAATGGATAAATGTAATTTAGGGGTACAAAATGGTGAAATGATATCATCCAGCTGCTGGAATCAACAGTATCGAGTGCGCTAATATTTTATTTCCTCGTTATTTTTAATAAATATCTAGGGTTTTTGTGGATTAATTGATGAGATTTTAGCTGGATCAACGACGACACCTTTATGCGTACCTGGAGGACTGCTTTAAACACTGACGAGTGTTAATTACGATTGTAATCGCGTATTACTCGTTGCGCAGGGCAGCCCCTGTTTATTAGAAAGAGGTATCACAAAAAACAGAAAAGCTCAGTGATGTGCGTACATTTAGTTGTAGAGTCCTGTGTTGTGATTCGATTATTTCGGCGTGATTAAATTGTTTTGATGATACGCCATGTAGCAGTCCAATGAACTACGCTAAGGCAATCTAAAAACTATGGACTTTTTGATCATGCAATTTAGTAACATGAGTCCCTCGTCATATTTTCCTTACGTTTGAACAATTTTGAGGGGAATTTTTAGTATTTTGTTTCATTTTTGTTTTTATTACGTTAATTATATTGAGAGGTTTTGGTATTTTATTTGCTTTTCCAAGGGATAATTATTCTTAGTCGAAATTTTATCGATTTTGTGATGAAGGGAATATTCAGTTGTTTTAGTATGCGGTTATCTCGGTTGCAAGTGAGTTTAGGAGGAAATGTCATAAAACATTTTTTGGAGGAAATTTAATTCTCTACAAAAATGATGTTGGGACATTTTTTCGTAAATCCACTCGTTTTCGAGATAATTACATATTTAGCAAAAGTGAAATTTCATTTTTGAATGGAATTGAAAATAATTGTTTTCTTTCTTGTTTAATATCTTCAAAATTGCTTAGTGGAACTCAAAATTTTTTCAATCATTTTGAAATACATATTTTGTACTTCAAAATGAGATAAAACTTTTTGAATTCGTATCACTACCCCAGGAGATATTGAAGATTGAAAATGATTAAACAGTGAAGTGGTAAAACGTAAAAATCTAAACCTGCATTTAAAAATGTCGAATTATCTCCGTAACGAGTGGTTTTAGAGAGAAAAGTCACAAGAACTTTTTTGTAGTTTATCAAATTTCCTACAAAAAGTGTCTGACACATTCTCTTCTAAAAAGTCTCTCCTCCCCCCCCCCCCCCC